AAAACCCCCCTCCCCTCCCTCCCCCCCCCCCCCCGGGTCCGGAAACGCCTCCCCCCGCAGGTACTTGACAACGGTGGGCAACGGAGAGGACGGGGTGGAGCTGGAGAAGGGTTCGATCATGGACAGGGTGCTGCAGAGCAATCCCATCCTAGAGGCGTTCGGAAACGCCCGGACCATCCGTAACGACAACTCGAGCCGCTTCGGGAAGTTCATCGAGCTCATGTTCAACAAGCGGGGCAACCTGCTGGGCGCGGGGATCGAGACCTACCTCCTCGAAAAGGTGGGCTGTAAGTAGGAAAAAATGCGTCGAGACTGCTGTTGATCGTTGCTTGCCCCGGTTGGTGTTTTCACGGGGGTCGGTCGTAGTCAATACCTCGTGTGCTAGACCCTCGTCGCCTTTCCGGGGTATCTAGAGTGTTGATTAGTTTGACGATGAGTGCTCGCCCGCTGGCTTCGTGTCAAGGTGTGCGAGGGCTTTGCCGTCCAACTATCAGCACACTCCTTGAGCGCGTTTTTGGCCTCGGAAGCTGCTTCGAAGGCTTGAGCGATGTTCCCTGTTTCTTCTCCCTTTCGGCGTATGTGTTTCATCTCCCGGGTAGCCGAAGTTGTGTATATGTTTGCCCCTTTGCGTATGGATTTCCGTTTTTGTACACTAGTTTCCTCGAAAGTTGAGGGACGATTTTCACCATTGGCCTGCCCATCCGTCCTTTTCTTTTTTTCTCCTTTTCTCGTTGCAACAGGTGCGCATCCCTACCCAAGCCGAGAACGAGCGAAATTTCCACATCTTCTACCAGATGTGCAAGGGGGGCGACGACGAGGAGCGAGAGCGATGGGAGCTGCAAGGTAGGAAGAAGGAACGGGCAGAAGAGGGGGGGGGGGGGATTGGCGTCTTGTTGGCCGTATTTCTGGTTCTTCGCTTCTGGAAGGGAAGAATTTCCCCTGTTTTCCGCATCAGATTGAGTTTCGGGAGTTTGTGGAGGTATAGAGCGGGAAGGGAGGAGGGGGGAGGAGGGCATACGATGCTGCTGCTGATGTGACTTGGTGCTTGATGCGACTTGTCTTGCCCTCGCAGCGTGCTTGAGACCGGCGATTACTTTATGTCTTCGGAAATGTCACCCCAGTTTCTTGTTTTCGTGACAGGGGCGTTGTTGACTTCGAGGGGGAAATGTACCGAGCTGTATCTACTAGGAGTGACTGCTGTATCTTGGTGTATTCGATTGTGGCACGCGTTCTGGAAAGAAGAGTTCCTCGGATCACGATCAGCCGCAGGGTTAACCCAACGCTGCTGAACACATTTTTTGGAGAGACGGCTGCGTGGCCTTGAACACGGTTGCTTCCCTTTGGACTTTGGACGAACGCGCGAATGGCGATTTGATTTCAGGTCCGGAGGAGTACCATTTCGTGAACCAGGGTGACTGCTACGACCTCAGGAAAGTGGAGGACGAGGACGAGTTCGTGCAGACGAAGGCCGCTCTTACGGTGAGAAAAGGAAGATTCAAGCCGACCCCATTGATGTCTCTTGCTGTTGCTATTATAGCTTTATCGGGTCGTGCGATGCTCTTGGAGGGTCGTTGAGGACACCCCCGACTCTCCCTCTCGACTCGAAGGCTGCTCGTGGTTTCGCTTTTTACTATTTTTTTTTTGTCATGTTCATCTCTAGTTTGCCGCCTACCGTCACTTTGGTCTCTCTCGCCGCCGGTGCTTGCTTTGCCTACCGAGTGACTTCCATCTTTCGATGCTTGTGGACTGCATGACCTTGGCGCTTTGTTTTGTCTTTTTCGCGTATTCATCTCTGTCTTGCCGTGTGCCGTGGCGCGGGGGGGGTGCCTCTGTTTGGTTCGACCAGACGATGGGTTTCGAGGCTAGCTCGATCCAGACTATCTTCGACATCATGGCGGGACTTATCCACCTCGGAGAGCTCGAGTTTGAGGCTAACGAGGAAGATGAGGCAGCGATGCTTTCCGATGAGGAAGAGAATCAGTGAGTGACAGACCTGAAGGCTGTTTGTCTTGCCTTGTTGGTTGTGTTGCTGCTTTAGCTGTTGTCGACGCTGCAGCAGGCTGTTGGTGTGGTGCGTGGTGGCTGCTCTTTGTGCTGTGCAGCTGCTGTTGACGGTGCAACAGGCTGTTGGTGTGGTTGTCGCTTTGCTGTTGTGGTAGATTTTTGGCATCTGCTGGTGCTTATTGTGGTTGTGTCTGCTGGTGTCGCTGTTGATGGATCCAGTCGCCCCCACCGCCGCCGATACCATTTCCACGAAGGCCACCGCTTGCCTGGTGATGATATGCCTCCTTCCCCTGAACCCCCCCCCCCCTCCCCCCAGACTAGGATAGACAGACTAGTGAAGAGATTTTTGAGCCACCTTTGGCAAAGTAGGAAGGAACGATTGGCCATCGGTGATCGGTCCTGTGGGAACAATGCTCCGTCCTCTCGAGGACGCGTGGTCAATGGTCTAGCCGCTAAGGCATGCAAAACATAAGAGTACGCCCCCCCCCCCCCCCCTCCCAGAGAGTGCATGGCTCGGGTTTGCCGGCTGTGCTACCTGCCGGAGGACGGTCTGCTGCGTGCCCTAACGTCCAAGACCATCGAGGTCGGTCCTAGAAAGGAGAAGACCACCATCAAGCTTAAGGACCACCAGGCGTACGATGCTCGAGACGCCCTGGCGAAGGCCTTCTACGGGCAGCTGTTCAACTGGCTGGTGGCCACCATCAACTCGCACATCAACTGCGACCGCAAGGAGGTGAAGGCTTCCGTGGGGGTGCTGGACATCTTCGGGTTCGAGTGCTTCGAGCACAACAGGTGCGTTCGTTTTTTTTTGCTCAATTGCTGTGGCGTGGGTCATGACGTTGTTTGTTTTCCGCGTGGTTTGGGCGGGAGTGTTGCTCAAACCGCAACGAGGTCTGTAGATCTTGCCGCAGGGGTTGAAGGTTTAACTGCTGTCCGAGGCTCAGCAGGATGGATGATGGGTGGTAGCTTGAGTGTGCAGCAAGAGCAGCTTGGGTGCATGTGGGTTAGGGTTAGCGGTGAATAGCGTCCACAACCCCCAGTCAGTACGCTGCCCAGAAGGATCCAGAACCTCACCTTTAACCCCTCGTTCGTCCCTGCATGTCGTGTGCTGCCTCTACCGCTGCTGCTGCTGTGGTGTCTGAACTCTGTTTTACCTGGCTGGCTGGCTCTGTGATGAATTGGTTGATGGCGCGAAATCTTGACCAGCTTCGAGCAGCTGTGCATCAACTACACGAACGAGACTCTGCAGCAGCAGTTCAACCAGTTCGTGTTCAAGATGGAGCAGAAGGAGTACAGCAAGGAGGGGATCGAGTGGTCCTTTGTGGAGTTTCCAGACAACCAGGTACCGTAACGACTAGGCTATTGCCTTGCCGTGTTGCTGCCTGCCGTTCAGCAGGAATTGAGCGTTGTCCGGCGGTGTGAACTGGAAAGGTATTTTTCGGTGCGGATTCATGAATTGTGTTGCCCCAAGAGCAAGTCAACTAGAATGTCGCCGTCTCGTTATAATACTCCACATCTTTTCTTGGGGAAACCTGTATGCGCAAAAGCTGATAACTGCAAGTTTTGTGCGATCGTTTGCCCCCCAGGACTGCCTGGACCTGATCGAGGGGAAGAAGAAGGGTCTGCTGACCATGCTCGACGACGAGTGCCGTATGGGCATCCGTGGCACCGACGCCAACTACGCCAGCCGGCTGTACAAGGAGCACGCGGAGACGGAGAGGTTCGAGTCCGACAGCGCCATGCGGACCAAGCTCTGCTTCGCGGTTAAGCACTACGCGGGCCAGGTAAGTCAACAGCAGGTGTAATCTCTGTGTTCTTACCGTCGACGCGGTAGCGGGTAAGGTCAAAGGGATATATTTATTTTGGTTGGAATTTTTCCGCATTCAAGAGAGGTTGCTTCGCGGCAAAGCACAGTAGTCTCCGTGTGCTGTTCTAACCCGTCACAGCACTAGCGGCGACGGTTAAAGAGAGTCAAAGAGAGGAAACTGTTCAGATGGAACAATTCCAGACCTCTACCTGGTACCTAAGGATTGGCTCTTCTTCTACAGAAGCTTTCGTAAGCATGAACAAGGCAAGGAATACAGAATCATTGAAGCCATTATACCGTTCCAACCAGTATTATATAGAATCTGGACAATCTGGACCTCGGAAGATATTTTTATGAACACTTGATTATCCTCTCGACACTTGACGGCAACGACGATGACAGTACGCTCCATCATTCCCGTGACACTTGACGACAACGGTAACAACGACGGCACGCAGGTCGAGTACCACGTGGAGACGTTCTGCGACAAGAACAAGGACGAGCTTCCCAAGGAGTCGGACGAGCTGTTCGCCAGCAGCACCAACGACTTCGTCGTCAACCTGTTCGCACCTGCGGGAGGTAAGCAACCCCCCCCCCCCCCCCCCCCCCC